GGGGAGGGAGGTGGGGTGCAGAAGGGGGCCCAGGGCAGCGAGGGGGGGTCAGGGAGGGAGGCTGGGTGCACAAGGGGGCTCAGGGCAGCGAAGGGGGGGTCAGGGAGGGAGGCTGGGTGCAGAAGGGGGCCCAGGGCAGCGAGGGGGGGTCAGGGAGGGAGGCTGGGTGCACAAGGGGGCTCAGGGCAGCGAAGGGGGGGTCAGGGAGGGAGGCTGGGTGCAGAAGGGGGCCCAGGGCAGCGAAGGGGGGGTCAGGGGGGCGGGAGGGGGGGGGGGGTCAGGGAGGGAGGCCCTGCAGGCAGGGAACTTCCCCCGGCCGGAGTCAGACACGACCCAAGCAGAGCCGCTCAGCCCCAGAATTCCCAGCTGGGACTGGCCTCCCAAGCTCGCTCTGAGGCTGCGGCCTGCAAGGCTCTGGAGCCCGCCAGGGCGTTCCATGGGGAAGGCCCAGCGCAGGGAGCCGGGCGACAAGCGGTGCAGGCCGAGCTCTGCCACCTCCCGTCGTTTCTGCGCCCACGGCCCAGTGCGTGGGGCCAGGCCGCCAACCCTTCTGAGGCGCCCCGGAAGCAGTGCATGCTGGGACTGGCTGGGGGTCTGTGGGGGCGGGGGCGGCGGCCTCACTGACCTTTGCCTCCATGTATGGCCACCGCTTCCACGCCCTTCAGCAGCAGGTACTCGTGGATGGCGTCAACGTCGGCAGCACCTGCCACAGGGCGGCAGCACTGAGACCTGCTCTGGGCCCAGGGCCTGTCTGCCCCCTCCCCGTGTGCAGGACTCACCGGCGGCGGGGGTCTTCTGCAGGCACTCCAGCAGGTACACCATCTTGGCTTCCTCCTTCACGTACTCCACTTCCTGGGCACAAGCACAGCGCGCGGCTCAGGGCCCCGGAGCCCAGGCCCCTGGTGGCAGCCAGCGCAGGCCGGGTGGGAGCGCCCCCTGCTGGCAGCTCACCTGTATGACGTCCAGGCTGGCCGCTCCAGCTCGTCCCACGTTGATGGTGATGGGCTTCACCAGGGCGCTTTTGGCAAAGTTCTGGATCTTCTTGGGCATGGTGGCACTGAAGAGAAGGGTCTGCCTCTGGCCCTGCGCCCAGGCCCGGGGGAGTAACCAATGGGGTGCTGGTCTCTGCACTGGCCAGCCGGGGCTGGGCAGCCCTGCTAGTCCCCACACAGGGGCCCTTGGAGCCCAGCTTTACGCCAGCAGGCCGGGCAGCACGGCAGGAGACTGGGCTCGGGGAAGCCAGGCAGGACCTGTGCTCCATGCCAGCCAGCGAGGCCCCGGGGTAGAGAGCCGAGCCGGCACCGCGGCCCCAAGCTCCTGAGTGGGCGAGGCCAGGGACTGTGACTAAAGGATTTAACCCTGCCCGGCCCCCAGCCTCCCCTGCCCGCTAGCTACCTTGAAGTAGGAGAAGATGGTGCGGATGTCTCCCTCGAAGCCCATGTCGATCATCCTGTCGGCCTCGTCCAGGGCCAGGTAGCGACAAATGTCCAGGCTCACCATCTTCTTCTGCAGCAGGTCCATGAGGCGGCCGGGGGTAGCCACCATCATGTGCACGCCGCTGCAGAGCAGGTGGGCAGCCTCAGGGTCCTGCGCACTCTGGATGCAGGCATCAGATTTCTCCCCCCTA